GTGGAAGCTCCATCCTGAGCAAACCTCCCCTGAGAGTTGCCTCAGTCCAGACTCCACCTCCAAAAAAGCCAGCCAAACGGTGACCCCTCCCCAGAGATGCTCAAGACCACTCCCACAGGGACCCAGGGACCCCGTTGGGGCATCAATCTTCAGCCTTCAGGCCCATAGTATCCAGCAGACATTTCCATGAAGCAGGAAAATTCAGAGTCAGTTCAGTCACTATCTGTTGTGTCCTGCAGAATGTCTTGCAGACTCCTTCATGAATCAGGAACCCCGAAAGATCATTCACCTTTAGGCAAGTTCAGTAGTCCTCTCTCTGTGGGTTCTCTGTGTCCAGTTTATGCAATAGTCCAGGCAAGAGCAGTTTCTTGCCCAAATGGCTATCAAACTCCATAAGGATCCTCTTCAATGCCCATCTTCTTCTTGAAGTAGATTGGTGCTGCCAGGAGCAGAGTGTCTCATTGTCATGAAAAGTCCTAAGCTATTAAAACATTTAAAATGCCATATTCTATAATTTTTGAAAATATGAAGAATGCCTATCTAAAATATACCTATGCACATCTAGAAAATCTTAACTAACATGACTACAAACTTGACTATTATGATTATCTATTAACAACCTATATACATTACATTTTTAAATGAACTACACAATCACAATACCTTAATCAAGATCAGAAACACATATAACAAAATTGACCTTAAATCTCTATCAATAAAGCAAAATCTATACTAATGCAAATTATTCATATCTATATCATATCCCCCTTTAAATGTAAAAGAACATTTATAAACAATATTTGGGAACATGGGCGCAGTTTTTTCTCTCCAAACTGCTTCCTACTGAATGGGGGTGTCGTTAATTAGGTCTTTCATGGTATAACCTGTGTGCTAGTTTCATTTCAGTTGGCAGTTGAGCGAAGCAATTTTCTGAAGATGTTCACAGCAACCCTTCAGGAGGGTGTGGTCCATCATACGATATCGGAATAGAAGAAATGAACAGGGTCTCATCCTCTGTGAAAACAAAATAAGAAACTCCTTTCCAAAGCATCATGTCCTTAGATCCAAATTTCAAAGTCAAGGCATTTTCAAAATATCTATGTTGGATTAGTTCAGCAGCATTTATAAACAAATATCTTTTAGCAGCTGTTGCTCCTTCCTCACATTCAAACAATTCAAAGAGAGCATAATAGCATACAGCATCAAAATTCTCTGTGTATTTTCCATCTTTGTGCGCTTTATTTTAACCTCTATTTCGTTTATTTTTACTTTTATTTTATATTCTCTGTATCTTTGTCCTGGAATAACTCTGTAGACCAGGCTGTCCTTGAACTCTCAGAAATCTGCCAGTCTCTGCCTCCCAGGCATTGGGATTAAAGGTGTCTGCTACTACACCTTGAACTCACAGGGATCTATTTGTCCCTGCCTTCTAGGCACTGGGATTAAAGGCGTGTGCTACCACACCTTGAAGTCACAGAGGTCAATATCCCTCTGCCTTCCAAGTGTTGGGATTAAAGGTGTGTACTACCACACACAACAACTCTCTTCCTTTTTTTTTTTACTTTAAGAACTTCAACTTTTAGCTTGCATATATTTTTAACACACTGTAAACCATTTTAAAATTTTCTTTGTCTTTGAATCTCTCTTTACTGTATATCTCTCTTTTTCTGACCACACGAGCCTTTAAATTACTGAGCAATATGGGTAGGATTAAAGCCGTGGCTTTGCCAGCTAGATCCAGTCCATTCCTTAGCTTTCCAGCCTCATGGCGGATATACAGGCTGTAGCCATATTTACTGCCACAACTCTATGGCATTTCAAGGTTCCTGCCAGCAAGTAAGTTGCAGCATTATGTCCACAGACAACACACAAGTCCTCTCTCTGTAGTCGGCCCTCCTGCCTCTAACAGTCAGAGTTTGCCCTGGCAGGATGGCCCAGAAAGCCGGCATTTTAAAACAGCACAATTTTTTTCCTGCTACGGCTAAAAACCGGAAAAGCATGCGTTCAGCTTTTTGTCAACACCGTTTAAGTGTTTTGTGGCAGGACCTCTTAATGAGCTGCAGGGTTTTGCACCTAAAGCTGAGTCAGGAAAGCCTCTCTTAGATGAGAGTGCTTGCTTGCCTCTAGCAAGCAGAGCAGACCCAAGAAATTGCCACAAGAAACATGCTTTACTCTATTCTTTTCCAAGCTTTCTCAGGCTTTCAGTGGATTCAGCTGTCCACACGTCTGGGCGCCATTCTGTAGTAATAAGGAGCAGCGGGGCTGCGTCCCCAGCACCCCAGCTGCCTGCTAGCTTATGCCCGAAATAACAACACACAAACTGTATTCATTTAAACACTGCTTGGCCCATTTCTATCTAGCCTCTTCTAGGCTAATTCTCACATATTAATTTAGCCCATTTCTAATCATCTGTGTAGCATCGCTAGGTGTGCTTACCGGGAGATTCTAGCCTATGTCCATCCCGGGTCTGAGCTTCATGCACAGCTAGACCTAGGGACCCAGGGACCCAGGGACCCAGCCTGTTCCTGATCAAATCTTGAACCTGGAGAAACAATGAGGTTAGTTCTGTATCATCAGGTATAAATTCAGCAGGGACCCAGGGACCCAGGGACCCAGGACCATTATCTGTCTTTATTTGTGTAGGTATACCCATGATAGCCATGACTTCTAATAAATGAGTGATTACTGAATCAGCTTTTTCTGAACTTAAAGCAGTTGCCCTCCAGAGAATAAACGTGATTTCCGGTCTTCCTTCACTGTCTCCTCTCTGGGGGCTAGAATGAAACCCAGGAGTGCTGATATCCATTAAACCTGGGCCTTTTCTAATTTGCTTTGATTTGGTCTGATTCAGATTATTGTGTCAGCAGAGAGGTTTATTGGAGTGCAGAAAGTTTTCACATAGTAACACTCTCTCAAGAAAACAAAACTAGAAAAAACAGGAAAAACAAAAAGTTGTTAAATCTTCAGCAGCTCAAAGGCTGTTGATGGTCTGTGAGACACCAGGACCATTTCCTGGAAGCTCTTATTCCACAGGTCATGCCCCAGTGGCCCAGAATTCACTGCGTGAAGCTGGGGGCAGAGGAAGCATGGAATGATTGACTGCCCTGTCCAGGGTAACTCAGGGCAGTCTCCTTTAGCCCTCCGTCTTTACAAGCATTGGATGAATACACTGAGTAAGAGTATTCTTTGCTCTCCACTCAGAAGAGTTGGTGAGATGGCTCAGTGGGTAAAGGTACTTCCACCAAGCCTGACGAGTTTAATCCCCAGAACTCACATGGTAGGAGAAAGAACAACCCCCAACTAGCTGTTCTCTGGTCTCTCTCTCTCTCTCTCTCTCTCTCTCTCTCTCTCTCTCGCCTCTATCTCTCTCTCTCACACCCCCACACACGCACACACAATAAATATAATATGAAGTACATGTTCTTGGCTGTCTTTTTTATTCTCATGTCTTTGTCTTCATGAGTAGAGAGGGCTTGGAGCTTGTTCCCATGTCTGTGATGGGAAGATGCAGTCTAGAAACTGCTGTGGAATACCAGTGGGCTATGTCTACACTTCACTCACTACAATCTCCTTTCTTTACTCCAAGTAGTCAGCCCTTGAAGTCTTCTTGACCAACTTGATGTTGACAGCATACTTTCTAGTAGATTCTTCTAAGAGTCAATTTGCTCCTGTCTGCATGTACGACATGAAGTGCAAGTAAGGCTACCTAGGAAAACAAAGGAGACTAATGGGAGTGACGAGGGCCAAGAAAAGGGAGGGGGGAAGGATATGGGGGAATTTGTCCAACCTACAACACATACTTATACCAAACTTTAAGATAAATTACTTATAAGAACCAGTTTCCTTGCATATAGTGGCTCACTCCTGTAATTGTAGCACTTGAGAAAACTACAGTAAGATCATCATGACTTAAAGACCAGCCTGGGCTACAAAGTAAATTCTAGATTATCCTGGGGTAGAAAAAAAAATTGTAGCTTGGTATAGTAGCACATGCCTTTAATCCCAGCACTGGGGAGGCAGAGACAGGAAGACCTGAGCTCGAAGTCAGCTTGGTCCACAAAGTTTCAAGAAAAACAAAACAAAACACAAAAAAAATCAAATAATCAATAATTTAGGAATAAAAATTATATAGGCTGGAGAGATGGTTCAGCGGTGACGGCCACTTGCTGCTCTTCCAGAGGACCTGGGTTTTGATTCCCAGCACCCACATGGTGGCTCACAAGCATCTGTGACCCAGTTCCAAGGGATCCAGTGCCTTCTTCTGGCCTCCACGGGCATTGCACGCACGTAGCACACTGTCATTGTGTGCACGTGGTGTGCAGACATACATGCAGGCAAAACACCCACACACATAAGTGAAGGGAGAAAAAATTTAAATAGAAAATATAAAGCTGAAAATGCACATTTATTGACTATATGCCATGATCTACCATTATATTAAAACTTTAAAACTATTGATACGTATAGTATGTAAATGTACATTATACATTAAAACAGACTATTATATACATATTACAAACTATGTGCATGCATGAATTACAATCTTTATTGTACCAACTAAACCTGCCGTTTCTAAAAGGTGTGGCCATGTCGATACATCCCTTTTAAACGAGGCCAAGTCATTTTACTCGGAAGCTTCATGCTCTCGGAACCCACTGTGCACGCACGCGCAGCCCAGCGGCAGACGTGGCCTTGCGGGCTGTCAGCACCGGTGGTCTGGTACCGTCTCTTCAGTCCAAGCTCTCCAGGAAGGACACAGGGGACCTGCTGGGGTTGCAGCCCTGCCTGAACCGGGCTCAAGGGGGCGGACTCTCACTTGCTCCCGGTCCAGCACGCCCATCACCGCCTCCACGGAGTGATGACTCCGGAGAATGCCACAACTGCGAACCTCAAGTCAAACAACACAACCGACCCGCCCTCCCACTTTTCCCGCGCAGACACCGCTGCTTCCGGAAAAGGCGTGGGCCCACAGGAAGTACTGAAGTTTTGGAAAACAGACGCTTCCGTCTCCGGTGTCATGGCGGCCTCCACCCCTGAAGGCATGACGGAGACCCAGGACGGGAAAAGACGGCAGTTCGGGAACCGGTTCCTGAGCGATCCGGCGCGCATCTTCCACTACAATGCATGGTAACTGCCCTGCCCGTCCCTCGCCACCCCGGAGGGCTTCGAGAAAGCCCAGCCCGCCGGCCCCTCACCCGCGGCGGCAGCCGAGGTGCCCGCCTCCCGGGGAGGGACAGCCACTCTCCCTGCCCGCAGCCGGCACACGAGGACCCTAAACTGCCCGTTTGGTTTTCACAGGGACAATGTGGAGTGGTCAGGGGAGCAGGCCGCGGAGGCGGAGAGGAAAGTGCAGGAGAACAGTTCCCAGCGGGTGTGCCCGGAGAAGCAAGGTGCGCTTGTTTCTTTCCTCGTTTGTATTCTCAACCGGCAGTGCAGGGCGCGTCTCCTGGAGAGGACAAAAGAACTGCAGCCACCAGGATCCTTTGATATTGGCATAGAATGGGACCAGGAGGGGACGAGCTAGGAAACAAAGGGGCAGCCTTCTAACAAAACCTTGGCGAATCCTTGGGGTTGAGTTTTCTACGTCTTTGCAGTTTGTTTGTTTTCGGAGGTGAGCCGTTCTTGTTTTATTTTCTAGTGGCCACCGCTTTAGATCATGTTGGCTAGTGTCATGTTGCTGTGGCTGACCTATGACAGCCATGCAGTCGTTCGTTCAGTTTAGTGTAGCGTCCGCAATTCACGTTCTGCTCGAGAGCTTCTGTCAGAGCTATACTGGTGTGGTCAGTTCGCAAATACTGTGGGAGGAGAGGATTATTGGATGATGTGTATGTTCCTGAGGTGACACGTTTGGAGATTTAGGAGTTCTACCAAAGAAAGATGGGGGTGGCAGGGTGGAAATGAGTGGTCAAAAAGAGGCCCTTCCTGAAGACAACAATAATTGCATTACAAAATATCTCGACCCTATTTCTAAGAGGCATTTGAAAGTCAAACTAGAAATGTAAAGTAAAAGGCACCGAAGGCGTTTCTGTATAGTAGTAAGGTCCTGTTACAGACCAGGCGGGTACCTCCTAGGATGTAGAGGTGCTGTCTCTAAGCAAGGTCAAGGCTGGAGGACCGGTGGAGTCAAGATCATCCTTGCTACTTAGAGTTCCAATCCGATCTGGGCTGTGTGAGACCTTGCCTCAAAACTAAATATGTTTGTATGTATTCTGGTTGCAAAACAGGCACCCTGCATTGTTTGACAAAGTCTAGATAAAGCAACATAGCATTGTGAGGGATTCTGAAAATCATGTAGCCCAATATCCTCTTTTTACAGTTAGAGAACCGGTTAGCCAAGTACAGTGATGCGTCCCTATAGGCTCAGCTGCGTGGAGCTGAATTGGAGGCCATCCTGGGCAACATAGGGTGATCTTGTCTTCAAAAAAAATTTATCTTGGACCACAGGGCATTAAGTGCTTTGCCTTGAGGTAAGCAGTGAGGCAGAATCCCATTTCTTAGAGTTTTATTCTTTCATTAATTCAGGTCAGGGTTTTCATGTTGGCAAAAAGCAGACTATACCCACACTTGCTGCTCTCTCCGGCTCACTGAAACTCTGACTTCAGGAAGGGAGTTGCGCACTGCCTAGTTTCCTTTTAGCCATATTTCCGTCTTTGTTGTTCACTGATAATCCTGATTTGTGCCTGGCCTCCACATTCTAAAGAAGTAAGCACGTACCTTCCAAAGAGCTGCATGGATGGCAGTCATTGAATTTATACAAAGGTCAAAGAACCTGAGACATGTAGGTTGTACATTAAAGATAAACTGGGGAAAATAATTACCACCGATACCAAAGGATCTGTCTGTCCCTGACAAAGAGAACCTTGCAACTGAGACTAATTAGATTTTTATGTAGTGTGTGTGCTTAATTTTACAATTTTCCTATAGTTAAGGGCCATCGAAAGATGCAGAAGGAAAATGGTAGCTAAACTCCGTGTGTTGTGGTTCTGGCAGAAGCTGGGGGGCACTGGGGATGAAAAACAGGTGACATTAGTATATGATAGCTAAGTAGCAAGACGACACCCGAGAAGGCATTCAGTTCTAAGACTGGCTCTTAAAGGGTATTTTTAGGACAAAGTGACATTTATTGAAGCAGGACAATTGACATTAGATGTAAATAAAATATTTGAGACTGAGTCTTAAAATTCTTTCTTAAATAATATTTACAGTTGATTATGAAGTCAATGCCCATAAATACTGGAATGACTTCTACAAAATTCATGAAAATGGATTTTTCAAGGATCGACACTGGCTTTTTACCGAATTCCCTGAACTGGCACCCAGTCACAATCCCCTGACGGACTTACCCCTGGACAGCGAGAAGAGTGAGGTCTCTAAAGACAGAAGCGGTGAGGACGGCCCTGGCTTAACCACAGAGCGGCACGGGTGTTCTTGGACCAGCCGTGGATGTGACACTCAGGGGCCTCCTGTGGAAGAGACTGTGACTCAGGAGCTCAGTCACCTAGAAATCTGTGGTGATGGATTTCCTGGGTCCTCTGCCACCTACCGAATCCTTGAGGTAACTTTTATTTTCCTAATAATGGAATTAGTAAAGACGACCCGTTTAAACACAAGGTAAGACTAGGAGGCTAAGCCAGAGTATCCTGTCTGGTGACACTAGATTTGATCCTCAAAACAGCCAGATCATCTCCCTGTTCCTTCTCTTTCTTTCTACTTTTTTTTTTAAAACTAGGAAATTGTCTAGGCGGCTACTATAAGGGAAATTCATAAATAGGGTCTACCAACTTCACTGGAAATTGCTTCTACAGCTGGTAAAACTTGGAATTAAGTTTAATGCCGTGGGGCTTGAAGGGGATGGCAATGCTGGCAATTGAACCCAAGTCCTGAGACAGATTAGACAAGCTCTTTACCCCTTAGCTAATCGTATTACCGCCTGTGAGGTATTCTATCAACCCATGTCCCATCTAGAGGATTGGGAGCCTCTTGTGTGTGAGGACCTTTGAGGTGGTATATGTAAAATGGCTAAGTTGTTGCGTGTATTTTACGAAGAGTTTCGGGGTACTCATGTTGGATCTTTATTTAGCTTATTTTGTTCCTCAGAGAGATTCATGTATGCATTGTTGTGCGGTGGGGTTGTCGGCTGGAAAGTTTCCACCCCATTGTGCAGTGCTTAGCCTCTCAGGGTCAGAGTTTGAAGCAGCACCAACTATTTAGTTGTGTTGGACTACACGGCCTTCTTGCCCCCAAGGTTGTCTCTGCTGGTCACGGAGGTCACCGAGGCTCTTCAGTCTACCTTTCTAATAATGGTATAGGAAGTTATAGGAAGATGTATATCTACACGGCCGTCTGCTGGTACTCAGAAAGTAAAACTAGCCTCTGCCTACACACCAGCTTTCTTCAGCCAGTGAGAGCCCAGGCTCTTGGCTTTTGCTATCCTCTTTAGTTTTAGTCCATGAGGGATAAGAAAATGCCATGGGTCCTATTTAGTTCTGGTCACTAGACTTCTAGTACAGTTCTTAAAAGCTGGGTGTGACAGTGCCTGCAATCCCAGTACTTAGGAGGCTGAGGCAGAAAAACCATAAGTTATAGACCAGTCTGGACTCTTTTAAAAAGAAGGTGGGAAGGGGCGTTAATTAACAACTTCTGGGACTGATGGTTCATTTCTGTCTGCAGGTTGGGTGTGGTGTAGGAAACACAGTCTTCCCAATTCTACAGACTAACAAGTAAGTATGTTGTCAGGTTTACAGGACGGCAAAGAGGAAAAGTGAGCGTTTGCTCCTAGAAGCATGAGTTGTTTGGGGTGTGGATGGCTAAGCCACCTCTTAGGATGGCATAGTTTAGCATTAGTGAAATTAGACTGAACACCAGTTGCTGTGTAAAAGACGTTCTGTGAGCTGTGGGCTGTGCAGAGCAGGTGTTAGGTTGTCACTTCCTGCCCGAGGTCAAGGTGGGACGGCGGCCTACGTGAAGTTACCTGCTTCTGTACACTCACACACACAGCACTGTGACACCAGGAATGTGGGTTTTTTTCAAACTAACAAGACCTGCACCTGAAATCGAGGTGTCCTGTGGTTCCATTCCAATACTGTCGCCCTGGAGTAACATCAAATCCCATAGGTTAAAGGCTCAGTCTTACAAGATTGTTCCCCACTTCATATTCTAGCTGCTAACACAGGCTCACACTTCCAGTATGCTGTGAGCCAGGACAGTCCACAGTGCCCTCCTAGGTTTGGCTGGCTTTATTCATTATCAGGGGTATTGTAAGGGTACAGGGAACAACCAGATGAAGAGACATACAGGGTGAGGACTAAATCCTTTGGAACTCTCTAATCATGGCATCTGTAAGTGCTGGCCCTCCTGAGGTTACCTAGGCCCTAGACACTTCCGCCATTCAGGAAGTCCCTGATGTTTAGGAGCCTTGCCTGGAAAGTGTGTAAGTGTGGGTGGGTGGGTGTGGGTGTGGTGTTTCTTACCACATTTGAAGGTGCCCTGCTTGCCACTTAAGCTACGGCCAGGCGGGGCCTCTGGTCCTAGGGAGGTTTAAATTAAGTCTCTGTCATTCTACTTATCAATAAGATTTGGGAGTCAAAGGCTGAGGTGAAAACCTGCTAGCTCAGAGAAATTGAGTAGCAACTAGCTGACCTTGATTTTTGGCCAGAGATACTGCAAAAAGACAGGATTCTTCTCTCATCCCAGAACCCAAAAGAGAAGTTCAGACTCTAGTCCTGCCCTTTCCTTCATGTGTGTCTTCTCTATCCAAATTGTTGGCTTCTCTGTGACCAATTCTGGGTCAGTTAAATGCTGGCTTTGCTCCCTGATTCAAAGTTTAGCTTTCTTGGCAAGTCTCGGTCAATGTACAAGTCAGTACAGTCAAAATAGCACTCAACGCAGATGCTCTAAAAAACCCACTGTTTCTCAAAAGTTTCATCTAGATAGTTTTGCCACTTTCGTTCACAAAATTCAATTGCAGCAGAGACAAGCAGATCTCTGAGCCAACCTGGTTTACCTAGTAAGTTCCGGACCAGGAGGATGGCCCGGAAGTGCCTGCTGCCAGGCCTAACAACGTGGGTTCAATTCCCAGAGCATAGTGGAAGAAGAGAACTGACCCCTCACGTTATCGCCTGACCTCTGTGCATACACACACACACACACACACACACACACACACACACACAATTAGATGTAATTTCTTATGCCATTTTACTGGCCGATGGATGTCACTCAACCGATGGAGTGCTTGCCTAGCATTTAGGAAGCTCTGGGTTCATAAACTGAACACAGTGGCACACACCTGTAACCCCAGTACTCAAGAGGCTGAAGAGGGAGGATCATTAAGTTCAAGGTCATCCTTGGCTGCACAGCAAGTTCAAGGCCAATCGGCAAGACCCTGCCTCAGAAACAAAAGGCCCAAGATTATTGCCAGAAGCTAACAAAGAATATGCCGGTCTTGGAACTTTGAGTATAGAAAGATTTTCTTGTTCTTGATGTCTCATTCACATTCTCAGTAATTCAAATGAGAGTGTGTCTTAACCTCTCCAGAATTATGGGTGCTGGGATCTGAGCACTGATCTTCATGTTGGTGCAGCAAGCACCTATAACCATTGTGGCTGTGCCATTTAAGTAAGATTACTGGAACCTACTTGTTGATGTGATATTTGCTTAGAGGTGATGATTTCTTACTTTCTTACTGATGGTTTGATAAACTTGGTATTAGCCATATCCATGTGACCTAAAAAAGGACACAAGGGCCAAAGAATTTTAGCCAGAATGCAAGATGTTGTGACTGATAGGTACAGTTAATTTGGATGAGTGATATCCTTTGTCATTTGACTTTGCTACTCTACATAGAGAAGAGACATAATGCAGTTTGTATCCTAATTGTTGTGTTGTTTTTTTTCTGCCCATTTATTTCAGCAACCCAAACCTCTTTGTTTACTGTTGTGATTTTTCTGCCACGGCTATTGAACTGGTCAAGGTAAGTAAGTGACTCCTGCAGTGAGCTCCACTGATGAAAGGGAAAGGGGTCTCTTAAAACTCAGAGCATTAACTCAGTGACTGTGGCCTGAAAGTGTGGAAAGTTCGTGAAGCACCTAGACCACAGAGCCAGGGAAGAATGCCTGTCTGTGCTTAGCTAGAACTCGGGCAGCTAGAGCTCTGCAGACTTTTTAAATTATATATATAAATTATATGTGTGTGTATGTATGTATGTATGTATCAATATGTACTTAGGAGTGTCAGCAGGATCAGAGGCATTGGAGTCTCTGGAGATACAGGCAGTTATGAGCTGCCTGGTGTGAGTGTGGGAATCAAACTCAGGTCCTCTGCAATAGCAGTAAGCTGTGCTCTTAACTGGACCATCTGTCCAGCCCTGTCACCAAACATTTTTGTCCTTTATTTTTTAGACAGGGTCTCATGTACCTCATGATGACCTTGAACTTGCTGTGTAAAACTTGATCCTTCTGCCTCCGCCTCCCAAGTACTAGAATTGCAGGCGCACACCCTGGGTGTGCATTTTGACTCTCACACTCTGGGTGCCCCAAGAACCTCGTCGTGGTGACTAGGAGTCAGTTCTTGTGCCGGGAGCAACAGTGGTGGTGTCTAAAGCAAGGTCAGCTTCTCTCTGTGTTGTGTTCGCATTTCTGACCCATTTGTCTCTCCACCTCTGCAGACAAATTCAGAATATGATCCTTCTCGATGTTTTGCCTTTGTTCATGATCTGTGCGATGAAGATCAAAGTTACCCAGTGCCCGAGGGCAGTCTTGATGTTGTCGTCCTTATATTTGTCCTCTCAGCAATCGTTCCAGACAAGTAAGTGTTAGGTCCCTTAGCCTAAAAAGCTTTAATGAAGACCTCAAACTCCGATTATGCCCTAAATAAAAACAGTATCTCATGTCTGATAGACATAAGGACTGTGTAACTGTAGTGTTGATCCACTTCCTGTTTTAGCCTTTAACGCTCTACCTGCTCTGCCTTGGCTGTGGGTTGCCTGCACCACTGAGCTAAGTCTGTGAGCCGTGTGTGGACAGATTCCCACTTGGTCCACTTAGTATGTGTTGCTTCTCTGCTGAAATAACACAAAGTTGTTAAATTTACACAGCTAGACTACTGTGTTCTCTGGTGCTTGATTTTTTTGTTTTTGATTTTTGGCTTTTGCTTTTTTGAGACAGTTTCTCTTTGTAGCCCCGGATGTCCTGGAACTTGCTCTGTAGACCAGGCTGGACTCGAACTCCCAGAGATCTGCCTGCCTCTGCCTCCCAAGTACTGGAATTAAAATCATGTGCCACCACTGCCCAGCTTTGGTGCTTACATTTTTAGGAAAGCTGAAATACAGCTTTCCATAAAGTAAACTGGAAAGATACCCTTTAAAGGGTCTGGCGAGGTGGCTCAGTGGTTAAAGCACTGGCTGCTCTGCAGACGACTCAAGTTTCTTTCCTACACCCACACGGTGCCTCACAGCCATCTGTAACTCCAGGTCCAAGGATACAGCATCTACTTTTGACTTCCATGGGTGCTGTATATATAAGGTGTACATGCGTGTAAATATCTATGTACATAAAAGAATGAACTTTTGTTTGTTTTTTTGAAAGTACTATTTTAAAACTTCATGTAGAGTCAGTAAGATGGCTCAGCAGGTAAAGAAACTTGCCACCAACATGAGTTCAGTCCCCAGGGCTCAGTGGAAGGAGAGACCTGACTATCTCACATTCTTCTCTAATTTCTACTTGTGATATGTGCTCATGCACACACATGTTGACGGGGCAACAGGAAACGAATGTAATGCATCTTTGTAAATCCATGTGCAGGTAACTGGTGGTACCGTTCAGTACAAAGCACGTGTTTAACATGGGTCCCAAGGATGTGTGCTCAGTGGTAGAGTCTGTTCTTCCCATGCACAGCCTGGGTTCAAGAAAACAAAAAGAACGAGAAACCAAGAAAACAAAAGAACGGAGCATAGCAACCTGTGCTTGTGGTCTGGGTGATGTAACGGCATAAACGAATGCAGACAGATTGTAAAAATATATATACAGCTTTAATGCAAAATAGACTTACAGAACCACTGTTCCTGCGGAGACCAGGAAAGCAGAAGGGGACGGCTGGGAGCATGCTTGCCAAATTTATAGGCCAACATTAGCCCGAGGCGAACACGCCCCCTAAGGGGCGGGACTTATCCCTACAGGGTGATGGATGATACAGGAGGCTGAGGCAGGAGTTAGCCCTGGAGTTCAGAGGCTACCCGGGCAACATAGCAAGAGCCCAAGTCTAAAACAAAAAACCTGTGCATCAGGCAGCCAGTGAGCCTGTGTCCATGGGAGGAGGTGGAATTGGTTATAAAGATGATGGCACCGTTGACTGACAGCAGAGACGCTTTGACGTTGCCTGAGCTAGCCCAGTTTTCCTCTAGGTTAGCAGTAAAGTTCTCTGCCTCACAGGAGCAGGATGAGGCTTTGAAATGTTTCATATAGTGATGTGCTTCAGTTGCTGTAAATGCTTAATTCTGCGCTGGGCTTCTGGAGATACGAGGTGAGCTTTCCACATATTTATAAAAGAAGGCCCAGCTATGATGGTGCACACCCTAATCCCAGCTCTTGTGAGGCAGAGGCAGGCTGATCTCTGTGAGTTAGAGACCAGCCTATTCTATAGAGTGAGTTCCAGGACAGCCAGGGCTACACAGAGAAAACCTGTCTTCAAAAACAAGATCTCCTAAGTAAATTGGGAGCATGAGGACCTTGGGGAAGGTTGAAGGGGAAAGGGGAGAGGCAGGGAGGGGAGCAGAGAAAAATGTAGAGCTCAATAAAATCAATAATAAACAATAAAGAGAAGAAGCTTCTTTTGGCTTCTGTTTTGGAGGTTGGTGGACTTTCAGGCCCTCAGCAAGGTGGCACAACATCACCAATGAAAAATCTCTCATCCCATGGTCGGGGTAAGAAGAGAGGAGGAGGAAGGGGACAGAACCCATCAGTCCTTCCAGAGCACCCACACATGCTTCCTGGTGACCTACAGATGCCACCCTTCTGAGTATCTGCCACCTAGCAGTTCAGAGAAGAGGCCATGCTTTTAGCATGTGGGCCCCTGAGGAGAAGCACGGTAACAAATGAGAAGCCCTCCCACAGCGCTCATTTGCTGGCTCCTTACAGCACCATGGCAGTTGGAAGGCTTTCTATATGTATAGTTTTTAGGACATTTTCTAAAGCAGGTCTTACTAAGTGGCCTGAGCTGTCTGTCCTCTGAATCGGTCCTCCTGCCTCAGCCTCCCAAGAGCTGAGATTGCAAGCATGCATCATCACGCCAGCAACTTTAAACTCTAAAGGGGAGTTTTTCATGTAACAGGAAGAGGCGGTTGATAAGAGTTTGAGACAAATGAGTCTTGGATATTCCCTACGCGATATGGTCAGGCTTCCGGAGAGCTGCAGGAGCACATGTCGGGGGGGAGGGAATCGCAGGGCCAGGAAGAAGTAAGCCCATTTAGTAGTGACACATAGGGACTGGCTTTTGTGTTGTCAGAGTTAGGAAGTGTTTTGGTTTGGGGTTTGTGCTACAGGAGGGGGATCCCTAGGGGACTTACACTTCGCTCCCTCCGCCCTGCAGGATGCAGAAGGCTATCAGCAGGCTCAGCCAGCTCCTGAAGCCTGGAGGGGTGATGCTTCTTCGAGACTATGGCCGCTATGACATGGCTCAGCTTCGATTTAAAAAAGGTGCGTGGGGATCTGGAGAGCTGGGTCAGGGGTTGAGAGCACTGGCTGTTCTTTGAGAAATCTCAGGTTCAATTCCTAGCACCCCATGGCATGTCTCAACTAACTCCAGTTCCAAGGGATCTGATGCTTCTGTCCTCAGCAGACACCAGGCATGCATGTGATGCAGAGACATACTTGTAAGCAAAATACACAGAAGTAAACTTTTTAAAAATATGTAAAAATGCTGGGCAGTGATGACAAATGCCTTTAATCCCAACACTAAGGAAGCAGAGGCAGGTGGATCTCTGTGAGTTCGAGGCCAGGCTGGTCTACAAAGCAAGTTCCAGGACAGCCAGAGCTGTTACACAGAGAAACCCTGTCTCCAAAAACCTATCAGTATACACATATCACTAGGTATGGTGGCCGAGCACTCAGGAGGGTATTGGCAGGAAGATCTTCTGCGTTCAAGTCCAGCCTGATGGTTTATCTAGTACGTGCCAAGTCAGCCAGGACTACACGGTACCATATTCTGTACAAGAGTGTAAGTGTATGTATATAAAGATAATTTGGGGCTAAGGCAGTAGCTCATTTGGTTGGGTGCTGTCTTAGATAGGGTCTCCATTACTTGGCTAAACACAAACACTTCAGCATTGCTGTTCATCATGGCAGTCAGGGCAGGAACCTGGAAGCTGAGCTGATGCAGAGGCCAAGGCGAGGTGCTGCTTTCTAATAGAACCCAGGACCACAAGTCCAATGACGGCCCCACCCACAATGGGCTGGCCCCTCCCCCATCAATCACTAATTAAGAAAATCCCTGCAACCAAAGGCGTGTACCACCACAGCTAGTTTACAGCCTGATCCTGAGGGTTTTCTCTGTTGACATTCCCTCCTGTCAAATGTGTATAGCGTGTGTCAAATTGACATAAAACTAGACAGCCCAGTGCCTACTTAGATACATAAAGCCCTGGTTTTGATCCCTCAAATGACACTAAGCCAGGTGTGTATACACTTGTCATCCCAGGACTTAGGTGGTAGAGGAAGGAGGGTCAGTAGTTCAAGGTCGTTCTCAGCTACAGGACCCTGTCTCAAATAAAAAGTTTATTTTTCCAAAGATACTTTGCCACTTAAGTGAAAAATGGGTTTGCCAGTCAAATTAGACATACTATACTATAGAAACGTGGGTATTTTGTTTGTTTGTTTGTTTGAGGGTGTGTGTGTCTTTTGGTTGGTTGGTTGATTTTTCGGGACAGAATTACTTACTGGCCTTGAACACACAGGGATCCACCTACCTCTTCCTCGAGAGTGTTGGGATTAAAAAGGCTTACATCACCACCACCTGGCAGAAAAGTGGTAGTTTTTGTTTAAGAAAGAATCAGAGTGGTGGTGGTCCAAGCTTTTAATCCCAGCACTTAACAGGCAGATCTCTGTGAGTTCAAGGTTAGCTAGGTCTACAGCACTAGTTCCAGGATAGCCAGGGCTATACAAAGAAAGACTGTGTCAGAAAGAGAGAGAAATTATGAGGAGATTGGTTTAATCTGGAAATTACAGTCTTCTAAATCTTTTTTTTGGGGGGGAGGGGGAGTTCAAGGCAGGGTTTTTCTGTAGCTTTGGAGCCTGTCCTAAAACTAGCTCTTGTAGACCAGGCTGGCCTCGAACTCACAGAGATCCGCCTGCCTCTGCCTCCTGAGTGCTGGGATTAAAGGCATGTGCCACCACCACCCGGCTATAAATCATTTTAAATGTGGAACAGGTGGGAAGGTTTGTATGTGCTTGTAATCTCAGTACTTGGGAGGCAGAAGTATGGGGATCATAAGTTCTAGCCCTCCTCAGCTATACACTGAGTTCCAGTCCAGTATATATATTGATATTATGTCTTAAGAAACAAAAGGGCTGGGGAGATGGCTTAGCAGTAAAGAACACTTGTTCTTGCAGAGGACCTGTAGCAGTACCCACATGGCAGTTCCAGGGGGCCAGATGCCCTCTTCTCGTCCTCACAAGGTCCTGCATGTATATGTGGTTCCCATACATACAGTCAGGTTTGTGCACACATGCACATAAAATAAATACATATTTTTTAAAATAAATATATATTCTTGAAACAGGGCTGGAGAATTGGCTCAGTGGTTATGTCTGGGCTGTTCTTCCAGAGGACCCAGGTTTGATTCCCAGGACCCACGTGGTGACTAACAGCTATGTGTATCTCCAGTTCCCAGAGATGTAATGTCCGGTTCTGGTCTCCAGGGGCACCACATGCACATTGCACAGGCACACTGCAGGCAGAACACCCATGCACAATAAGTAAAAAAATAAATATTTTTAAATTTTTAAAACATAAAATGAAAAGAAAGGTGAGTTTGAAGACACAATCAGACTTGGTGGTACGTGCTTTTAATCCTAGCATTTGGACAGCTAAAAGACAGTATTTTCATGAGTTGTAGGCCTTATCTGAAGTTGCAGGAGAGTAAACTCATGAGGGTTAGGTACACAGCTCAGTGGCAGAACACTGAGCATGTTCCCAGGCCTGCAAGAATGTTTTAGGTTAGAGAGTTTAGCCGTGGAGTTTAGCTCATATAGAGTCCTTCCTAGTGTGTGCAGTGCCCTCAGCACCACAAAAGAAGACAGGCAGCAGGTGACACGGTGAGAAGACATTTCAGTGTTTACGACAGATAAAGTCTTAATATTTGTGTTTGTCAGGGGGCTGTTTTGAACACAATAAGGAAAATATACATGACCCACCCAAAACACTAACAGTTCGCAGAAAAGCATATTTAAATGACCAGTAAACAAGAGTTCAAGGATGTAAAAGTAAAAGGATAATTCTCCTCAAACCTGTTGCAGCCCAGTTCCAGGAAAGAGCTAGATACCTCCATTATGATAAAAATACAGATTGCAGCCAGATAGTGGTGGTGCACACCTTTAATCCCAGCAACCACATGGTGGCTCACAATCATGTGTGATGAGATCTGGTGCCCTCTTCTGGCCTGCAGGCATACATGGAAGCAGAATACTGTATACATAATAAATAAATAAATCTTCAGTTTAAAAAAAGGAGTGTGTAGGGAATTGCATACAGGTTGTAAGACTAAAGGGATGAGCAGAAAAAAGGGAAGGGTTGTCCACGTGAAAACAGTGAGTTCTCACAAGTGTGTGTTTGTGGACACAAGAGCAGAGCCCGGGCAAGTTTAGTCAAGAGTCAGTTACACTGATTGATGTTTTTCTAGGCCGAGCTTGGGGTGGTGGTGGCAGCGGCAGTTGCTGTGGCGCAGTCTAGAGCTCAGCTGGGAATCACATTATTATCTGATCCGCAATTTTGTTTTTTCCCATGTGCTGCTCTTTGCTGAAGCACTGTGCCTTTGTAGCGAATTGCAAGTTCCGGTGGCGTGTCATGTGTCACCAGAATGCACCTCTGCTTTCTCAATGCCTTTTGTTGGCAGGAAGGTGCTGGGAGTTGGGGTGGCCTGGGACTCTGTGCCAGTCGTCCTGCTACGGTTCTAAGCACGAACCACCGCACTTAGCCTGTTGTATATTGCTAAGCGATGAGATTCAAAGTGCTTTAGAGACTGAAGAGAGGTCTCAGCCGATAAGAGCACTTACTGCTCTTGCATAGGGCCTGGGTCTAGTTCCCAGCACCCACATCAGACATCTCACGACCTCCCGTCACTCACAATTCCAGGGAGTCTGACACCCCGGGCTCTCTCAGCTCCTGTCTGCGTGTACTCTCATAGGCACAAGCCTGAGATAATAAATCCTTTTCTTTTCTTTTCTTTTTTCTTAAGTGTATTAATGTATCTGTTTTGTCATGTAATGCAGGTCAGTGTCTCTCTGGAAATTTCTATGTGAGAGGTGATGGCACCAGAGTTTACTTCTTCACACAAGGTATGACAAAGCTGTTCTTTATTAGTGCTAAAGGTGGTTGGTATGCCAGCACTGCCCCTTCTCCGTCCTGGGCTGTCGCTTTCCCCAGGCCCCTCCGGCTTGTGCTGACTCTCAGTCGGCTGCTTTCCCCTCACTTCTGTTGTGTTCTCCAGAGTGGGAACCTGCCCGTTTTGCAGGTGTCCAGCCTGGTCAGCCTTGCCCTCTGCGCCAGGCTGTGCTTCAGTACAGCTGTGCCTGCCGGTGAGTGGTTGGCCTTTGGCTCCAGGTGACCGGGACCTGCTCTGTAGTCTGCCCGTCACAGACTTCACCCTCCACCAGCACGTTAGAAATATCCTTGGGCCCTTTGTCAGGTCATATACTTTGAATCTGTGTCTACATAGCATTGAAAGTTGTCCCCTAAAACATTGCCCTGGCATAAACATCTGTCGATTTTTGCATTTAGTTTTTGTTTGGGAGGTTATTGCTTTGTTTGAAAACAGGTCTCCCTGTGTAACCCAGGCTGGCCTTGAACTTCCAGTCCTCTTGAATCCCCTTACCAACTACTGATGTTACAGGCTTCCTTCAGCCGTGTGTGTGTGTGTGTGTGTGTGTGTGTGTGTGTGTGTGTGTGTGTGACTTTTGTTTGTCCTTTAACTTTGGTTTTGTTTCACTTTTTTGTGGGGTTAGTTTTTGGAGACAGGGTTTCTCTGTGTACCTGGCTGTCCTGGAACTTGCTTTGTAGACTAGGATGGCTTTGAACTCACAGAGATCTGTCTGCTTCTGCCTCCCAAGTACTGGGATTAGAGGTGTGCACCACCACTACCTGGCTGTATAACTTTTTTTTTTTAAGATTTATTTTTATTTCATGTGTTTGTTTTGCCTGCATGAGTATCTGTGCACCACATGCATGCCTGGTGCCCTCAGAGGCCAGAAGAGGGTGTTGGAGGCCCTGGAACTAGAGTTGCAGATGGTTCTGAGGCATAATGTGGGTGCTGGAAATTGAATTTGGGTTCTCTAGAAGAGCAGCCAGTGCTCTTAACTGCTGAGCCATCTCTCCAGTCCCTCTTGTAACTTTACATTGTTTGTAGAGCCCATAGGGGCTTTTTAAGAACTGGACTGATAGGGAGGAACTGGGAGGAGACAAGGAAGGGAAGGGAAAATTGGGCTAGAAATTAATTAATAAAAAATTTAAAAAAAAAAAAACAAAAACCCTGGTCTAGTGTTATGGAGCCATGTGCTCACAATCCCAACACTGGGAAAGGAGAGACAGGGATCCCTGGAGCTTGCTAACAAGTCACCTACCTGCTTGGTAAGTTCCAGGTCAGAGAGGCCTAAAGAATGGCATCCGAGGATGCCCTCTGACCTCCACATGCACCCCCATATACATGAACACTAAGAGCACATCCGTAGCGTTCACCTCAAAACTCCTCCTCCAGGGCTTGACACCCAAACCTTGACCTGCCATTGCCAAATTGTTGGAGTGAGTAGCCGGTGCTGTCAAAGCCTCTTTAAAGCATACTGATTGGGTTGTCCCAGGGCTCCACTTAGCATGGACAGCCATCAGCAAACCCCTTTCCCCAGAGGAAACCATGTGCATCTGCTCTCTCCAAACAGATGAGCTGCACGCGCTCTTCACCACTGCGGGTCTGGAAAAGGTGCAGAACCTGGTGGATCGCCGCTTGCAGGTGAACCGAGGCAAACAGCTGACCATGTACCGAGTCTGGATTCAGTGCAAATACAGCAAGCCTCTCCTGCCAGGTGTCAACAAAGAGGTGCCCGTGCCCCACACCACATGACGTCATCGTGTGTCAGGGCTTTTGTAAGGAGACATTTGTAAATTTTGGCCACTTGATGTTGGACAGTCTGGGAATCCAAGGAGCTTGGAACCTTGAACCTGGGAACAACTACTTTTTAGTACATTGACAATTGTTTTTACTTGTGAAGTCCATTAATATATATTTTCTCAAATTCACTTTTGATTACTGTTGTTTAGTGGAGGCAATGCTGCGGTAAACGTGAGGGGTTCAGGGACTGCTGCTGCCGTCGGTTCTCTCCTTCATGTTGGTCCTGGGGTTCAGACTCAGGCGTGGCTGCAAACACCCATGAACTTTCTCACCAGCCCTCAATTTTATTTTTTTTTAATTATTCCATATACAGTGTTCTGTCTGCACATGTGCCTGCAGGCCAGTAGAGGGCACCAGATCTCACTACAGATGGATGAGAGCCACCATGTGGTTGCTGGGAATTGAACTCAGGTCCTCTGGACGAGCAGCCAGTGCTCTTAACCTCTGAGCCATCTCTCTAGCCCTAGGCTCTCAGAATTTTAATACCTAGAATTTTACATCATTTTACACTCTGCAATCAAAAATGACCTTGAACTTTAGATCCTGAGTGCTAAGGTTTGCCAGCATGTGTGTTTTATGAGTTAAGAATAACCACCCCCTCCCCCCCAAAAAAATAAGAATAAAAACCAAGGGACTGGAGAGATGACCTGATGGTTAAGAACACTGGCTGCTCTTCCAGAAGCCCTGAATTCAATTCCCAGCACCCTGGCAGCTCACAACTGTCTGTGGCTCCAGTTCCAGGGGAACTGACACTCATGCAAACACCAGTGCACGTAAAATAAAAATAAATAAAATTTACCTTTTTTTTTTTCTTCGGTTTTTTGAGACAGGGTTTCTCTGTAGCTTTGGAGCCTGTCCTAAAACTCACTCTGTAGACCATACTGACCCCGAACTCACAGAGATCTGCCTGCCTCTGCCTCCCGAGTCCTGGGATTAAAATGGATTTTAAAAAAAAAAGAATAAAACCAAGGACGGGCAAGTGTGATGGCTCACAGCGGTAATCCCCGAAGGTGGAAAGCTTGCATAGGGGTCCCCATAAGATCAAGGCAGCTCGGACTAGAGTGTGAAACTGTGCGCAGAAGGCTTGGGAATATGGCTCACTAGTAAAACACGTTTTACCTGCACAGGCCCTGTTGCCTGTAATGCTGATCCCAGAACCTGGAAGTCTGAGACAGGAGAATTGCCTTTAGTTCAAGGCCGACCCAGGCTACCTAGTGAAATCCTATCTCAGGACACACACCATGGGACAGTACTGTAGATTCACACACAAAAGTTGTGTTACTATAAAATGCATTACAAGTTTTTGGGAACGCCAGCGTCTGTTGGAACAGCTGTAGTTGATATATAAGGGTCTCTGCTGAGTCATAAGGGAATAGACAACATGAGAAGTAACTATTTTAGGAGGTTTTTCTTAGAATTCAAACTGGTGGTGCACACCAGTACTCCTAGCGCTCAGAGAGCTGGTGCAGGTAGAGAAGCTCCTTAGTGCCAGCCTGGGCTACGTGGCAAGACCCTGTCTCAAAAAAATACTATAACCTTGGTAAGTAATTACGTCTAGGCCCTTGAAGGCTTGCATCCCTTGGATTTATGCGCTGTACCTTCCAGACTGTCTTAGTTAGGGTTTCCATTGCTGTGAAGAGACACCATGGCTGCGGCAACTATTATTTGGGGTGGTTCACTTACACTTTCAGAGGTCCAGCCCATTAGCATCATGATGGGTAGCATACAGACAGAAATAATGCTGGAGTAGTAGCTGAGAGTCCTGCATCTTGCAGGCAGTAGGAAGTCAACTGAGATGCTGGGCAGTATCCTGAAAATAGAAACCCTCAAAACCCACCTCCACGGTGACACGCTTCCACCAAAGCCATACACCCTAACAGTGCCCCTCCCGATGAGATTATGCGGTCCAAATGCATTCACACCACCACACAGACGGCCTAAAAAATTAAAGATCCTTCGCTTTTAGCAAAATTGTCTCCTTTTCACTGTGCACTTACATGCTTGCTTCAGTAGCAGCTGAGAGAGCAGCTTCCTTGTATGTCTCCCGTCCCTTGAATGTGGTCGTCATCCCTGTGGCTTCAGTGCTCGCATTTTCCCTTTTGCTTGTGTGTGCATCGCTGGGATGTGTTTGTAATTTTAACGGACTTTTCTTTTCAGATTTCAAACTAAAATGTCCCCATAATTGCCTCACTGCCATGTCTTTTCCCAAGAAAATATGGCAAGGCAGGCATCTTTTCAGGAATCTGAATGTTTGGAAAATGGGGGTACTTTCCATAAGGTGGAACAGAAAGGTTGAAAGGCAGGAGTAGCTGGAGACATCTGTGCCCCTTCCGGCCCCCTGGAATGGTTTCTCTCCCACCTGCCAGTACCCGCAGCTGCTTATGAAATAATCATTTGGGGCCTTAATATTAATTATAATTGCTTGGCCGATGGCTCAGGGTTCTTACTGGCTAGCTCTACATATAAATGAACCCATTTCTAATAATCTGTGTATCACCTCGTGCCCCATGGCTTACTGGTAATGCTCTGGCCTCTCCCCCACTCCGCCTTCTTTCTCCCTGTATCTCTGATAGATAGGCTTTCCTGCCTAGCTGTATTCTGCCCTGCCATAGGCCAAAGCAGCTTTATTCATCAACCAATAAAAGCAAGACATACAGAAGTACATCCCACATCAGACAGGCTAAATGTGGTACACACCTCTAATTCTAGCATTTGGGACGTTGAGGCAGGAGGAGGATTAAATCAAGGCCATCCTTTTCTATACTTAAAAAAAAAAAAAATTAGAGCCTGCTGGTGGTGGTGCATGCCTTTAATCCCAGCACTGAGGGGGCAGAGGTAGGTGGCTCTCTGAGTTTGAGGCCAGCCTGGTCTACAGAGCAAGTTCCAGAATAGCTATAGCTGATGCACAGAAAAACCCTGTCTACAAAAAAAAAAAAAAAAAAAAAAAAAAGATTAAGCTGAGAATATTGCACAGAGAGCATTAAGTCCTTTCCAAACGTGCAGGAAAGTATAGTGCAAGAACACTGGGCATAGTAGCACAGACTCATTCCAGCAACTCCCTCTAAAAGCTAAGACAGGAGGATTGCTTCCTGGGTTACTGAGTGAGTGCAGAAGCCAGCTGAGCAGCCTAGACCGTCTCTCAGATAAAAGCGATCTGATGATACAGTCAGTGCTAGTGTGTATGAGCCTGGTCACAAGGGAGTTGTTGTAGCCCTGTGTATTTTAATGGATAATTTGTCCACCCGAAAACCTCCTTTGCCACAAACATCTCTCGGGAGAAGCACATGGTGGCATTCCTGCCACCTCTAGATCATTCAGGCCTTTCTGATGTCCTCGGCACACAAAGCCTCTTCCTTATTTATTATGTATACAATATTCTGTCTGTGTGTATGCCTGCAGGCCTGAAGAGGGCACCAGACTTTATCACAGATGGTTGTGAGCCACCATGTGGTTGCTGGGAATTGAACTCAGGACCTCTGGAAGAGCAGGCAATGCTCTTAACCGCTGAGCCATCTCTCCAGCCCCACAAAGCCTCTTCCTGTGTGCAGCTAAGTCACTGTGCATGGATCCCCTACAGTCTGGAACGGTTGTCGCTTCTGTAACCTTGGCGTTGTAAGATTGCAGGCCAACTTTGCTGCTGTTTCCTTAAGAGCTGGTTCAGTTACCCTGGGCAGGAAGTGATGTGTGTTCTGTTGCATTGTATTGGGTCATAAGTATTTTTTAATATCTCTGTTCTTGGGGCTTAGCAGGTTAAGGCACTCCACCAAGCCCGACAACCTGAGTTTAGTCCCTAGGACCCACATGTGCAAGGAGAGAACCGATGTACTGTATGGCATGTATGTGCCCTTGGATGTTTGCACCAAAGAAATAAATGTAATTTTAAAAATCTCCATTATTGGTGATGTTGCCTAATCAAAATGGTTTTCTTAGGTCCTTGTGCTGTTATGTCTAAATAGGGTGTGAGGGAAGCCTGACTGTGCCGTCTGCCACCCTATTGACCACCAGGGTGTTCTGGGCTAATCTAGCCAGCTAAGCAGGTGTCCCCTTCCTCCTTCTCCATCAAAGAGAACAACCTTCCCCAAATAGAGGAGGACTGGTCTTCTGTCTCCTGCCGGAGCCTCCAGACAAGCTCTCAGGTTATCACCAAGTATTGTGCAGGCGTGTTCCTTTACATGTCTTCTCATACATGTTTCCCAGGTCTCTGGCTGTCGATAGGTTTTTAGCTGAATCATTCTAATAGATGCCGAGTGTGTGCTGCACATATTTGTACACATACGTATGGAAGCCAGAGGTTGGCGTCTTTATCATCACCTTCCACATTTTTTATCGACAGTTACTCCTTGAACCTGTGGTTTGCCATTTCGGCTAGACTAGCTGGCTGACAGGCCCTAGGGGCCCTCCTGGCAGCTCTTCAAGCCCAGCGCTAGGACTGCTACACGCTGTGCCCCGGCGCCTGTTTTTGTGTGTGTGAGGGGTTTCAGACTTTGCAGAGTTGTCTTCTGTCACCCACACTCAACCATCGCTGGTCATTTCCTGCTGTCCTTGCTTTCCTGGTTCCCACCCCTACCTCCTCTCCACTCCCTTGCTAACATTGCCTTGGCTTGGCTCCATCACCTGCATTTTAAAATGGAGAGAGAAGAGAGCTTCTTTCTTCCTCGATTGCTAATTTATTTAAAAGTGAAAACGCCTGGGTCTCTGAAATGCTTTCTGCCCTAACTTCTGAAATGAACGGGCAGCTGTGTGAGCCGCTAACGACCGTCCTTTGGCCTCCTAAGCCTTTCGGAGCAGCAGAAACAGTTTTGATTCCCATTCTGGCACTGTCTTGGGCTATGAGCTTAGAAGAGGAGCCCTGTCCTGGTCCCTTTTGTTCCCCTCCATCCTCCGACCTTTCATCTGCAGACCCAGGAAAGGACTTTGCACAGTGTTTTAGCCTCAGAATCTCTAATGGTGGACGGAGGAGGATGGCATGTTAAGGGTGACCGCAGTGCCTGGCTCAGCCCAGTGCCTAGGACTGACCCTCAGGGCGTCACACACGCTGTGCAAGGGCAAGCCAGACCCCCTGCCCTGGCTGAGTTGTGTGAAAACGTCTGTGTCAGGCTGACAAGGTAGCTCCAGGTATGCAGCTGCCAGAAAGCAGAGTGGGCTAGATGTCTAACAGAAGCGCTTCTGAAACCGACTTATCTTCCTCTGTCAAGTGCCAGCCTCTGCGGAGATAAAGTCAGTGTTCTTTGAAACCCAAAAGGCGGTTTGATGTGAGGCCCAGTGAGCTGCTGGGGTGGGGCAGTGTCCTGAAAGACACGCTGGGTCAGGGTATAACTTGGGTCTTCCCCAGAGTGTGGCCTCTATGGGGCAAAGGTCATGGTTCATCTCCCGATCTTGCATGGCTCACCGAGCCTGGCCTCTCTCGGTCTTTGGGTGGACTGGGGGGGTCTCCTGTGCTCCTTATGTAGCGTCACACTCTCTTGGTCTCTGCTTGGAAAAGTGGGGCCCTGGAAATTTAACAAGAAAAATAAAGTCTAGTGCTGAGACATCTGATATTCGTATGATTGATTCCTATCCTTGGAGATGTTAGCAACAGTAGGGGATTCTCCGTGGCTTAAAAGATGAGCATAGGACAAACAGTTTCTTTGACGCTGTTCACAAAGGCCTGTTCTTTAGTTTATGGCCGCAGCTGCTGTTTCCTGGGCCTTGCTGCATCGCGGCATTGCAGGTTTCTCTGCTTCTATGTTTGGTCTGCAGGTTGTGATTTGGAAGCGTTGGTGACAAGTTTTCCAGGTAGAACCTCAACATGACACCCTACTGCCTCTCTCTGGGGCAGTGAGCATCGAGGCTCACAACTCAGCGGGCTTTTGGCTGTAGTCAATGGAACACGTAGACAGTGGAACATGGCGGAGTTAGGGACAAAAAGCCACAATCTGACTTGTTCACTGGGGGTTTTAAGATCCAGTAGCCAGTACATTCACCCTGATATGTGCCCAGATCAGTCACCCCACTTTCCTTTCTGTGAGTTAGAATTTTACCGTTAAAATAGAAAATATTTGGCTGCTTGTCGTGGCACACACCTTTGATCCCGGTGACTTTGAAGCCCCTCCCATCTGCAGAGTGAGCTTCATTCCATCCAGGGCTACACAGTGAGACCTACACTCAAGAAATTTAAAAAGATACATGTATACATACACACATATACATACGCACACATATACACATACACACAAGCACACGCATAACCTCCAGGACAGTCTCAGCAGGTAAAGACACTTCTTGCCCTGTTGCCAAGCCTATCAACCTGAATACCTAAGTTCAGTCACAGAATGATACAGTATCAGGAGAAACCTCACTACTAAAAACTGTCCTCTGATCTCACATGTATATGCCGTGATATATGAATGCACACACACACAACCCAAATAAATAAACATAATTTAAAATTAATATATACCCAGGCTGGAATGTAGCCCTCCGGTAAAGAGAATGCCTTGTATTCATGAGATTCCATGTTCGGTCTCCAGCACTGCAGAATAAATGAATAAATAAATTGTCTAAGCAGCTGTGGGACTGAGGCTGGAGGGTCCTATAAGCCCCAGAGTTTAAAGCTAGCTTATACAAAACAGTGGGGATTACATTTTTTAAAAAAATGCCAGCCTTCAGTAGCACGAGCCTTTAATTCTAGTACTCAGGAGGCAGAGACAACTGGATCTCTGAGTTCAAGGCCAGCCACAGAGCAAGTTCCAGGACAGTTAGAGCTGTTACACAGAGAGAAACTCCTGTCTCAAAAAAATACAACAAACAAAAAAAACAAAGCTGGGTGCAGAGGTACTTGCCCATAATCTCAGCACTCAAGAGTTTGAGGCAGGAGATTCTTAAGACATTCATCTTAAGACATTCATCAGCAGTAACCTGTTAGAGAAAGACCTTGACAAAGTGTGCAGGGTGGAGACAACCCCAGCATACCCAGCCATCAAGCCCCGCCCCCACACTCTTGCTCCCCATTTCTGTCTGTCTAGTCTCTGACCAAAGCTGACCCTTCCTTGGGGTAACTCTAAACACCAGCGGGGCAGCAGACTCCTGACCCAAGGTCACTGGGCAGCAATAGGACAATCCCTCCCAGGACATTTGCCAGTCAGTGCGAAAGCCTGAGGCTCACGGGCTCCCCACACCCCCTTGGCAGGGGAAGCCTACATCATGTGTGAACACGTGACCCTTGCTTGCTCTTGATGGATGCATATGCCTTTAGCATGTTTTAATAGTGTCGCCCGCAAGCATTGTATGTCACAGATAACTGAGAACAGTTGACGGTTCCCGTTGTCCTTCACATCCAGAGCACGACGAGTTCCTAGTTCAGCTGAGCACTCTTTTTTTTTTTTTTTTTTTTTTTTTTTTGGTTTTTCGAGACAGGGTTTCTCTGTGGTTTTGGAGCCTGTCCTGGAACTAGCTCTTGTAGACCAGGCTGGTCTCGAACTCACAGAGATCCGCCTGCCTCTGCCTCCCGAGTGCTGGGATTAAAGGCGTGCGCCACCACCGCC